AGGTGCGACTGGAGGACTTTTGCTCTCTCCAACTGCTCAGGACAGATTTAACAGGGGCTCCCCATCTGGATCTATCTGCAACCTGAAGGGAGCCCCCCCCAGCCATGGGACCCTGCGGCTTTCCCACAAAGGGCAGAGGGTGGTGGCCAGCCCCTCCTAACAGGCCAGGCTGGAATTGGCGGACCCCGGAGTGCTGGGGGGGCGGGGGGCGGTCAGGGAGAGGGTTGCTTTTGCGCGCAGGAGCCGAGAAACCTCCAGATGGCCAGGAGCTCATTGCCCGGCTCAGAGGAGCACTGCTCGGCGGCCGGTCAGGGAGAGGGCTGCTTCTGCTTTTGCGCGCGGGAGCCGAGGAATCTGCACATGGCCAGGAACCCGTCCCCTCCCGGCCCGGAGGAGCGCCACTTCGAAATCTGGAGGGACTACTTCCAGCTGGCCCGAGTGGTCGCCGAGCTGGGCAAGCCGGAGCCCCGGGGGGAGAGCCCCGGGGGCCCCCAGGAGCCGGAGGCCGCCCCCGACGGGCGCCTCTGCTCCTTCTGCAAACACAATGGAGAATCGCGGAGCATCTACGCCTCGCACAACCTCAAGGACGGCGACGGGCGTGTCCAGTGCCCTATCTTCAGGCGGTACACCTGCCCCCACTGCGGGGCGTGCGGCGACCGGGCCCACACCAGGCGCTTCTGCCCCCTGACCGGGCAGGGCTACACCTCGGTGTACAACAGCAGCCAGCGGAACTCGGCCGGCAGGATGGTGATGAAGCAGAAGAAGAAGGTGAGTGGGCCGGGTTCGAGACCCGGCGGTCGGGGACGGGAAGGAAGGGGAGAGAGAGCCCGGTTTAAACTTGGATTATTTTCTCCCCCCTCCCCACCCGCAGCTTTAGCAACCTGGAGAATGTTCTTCGGACGGCTCGCCCTCTTGTTGAGTGGTAAGGATTTGTCACTTTTAAGTTCTTTTCTCGTCCGCCTTTCTCGCGGGGGCCCAAGGCGGATTGTGGTGTGAGCCGGTGCAGCCGCAGAACTGGGACGTTCGGTCACCAATGCCTGTGAGCTGTGGAGACTTGTGAGCAAAAATTCTGCTTTGTGAGCTACTGGCATTCAAGTTGCAAAGGAGCGGTTTGGCTACTGCATCCATGAGTTTGCTCTTGGAGCCAAACATGTGAGCCGGAGGCTAGAAAACTGTCAGCTGGCTCACACTAACTCAGCTTCGGGGGAACTCTGCCTGTCAGTCCAGGAGTTAAGCCCTGTTAGGTCTGTTGCTGCAAAATAGTAACAAGCCCGGTCACACCTTTAAGACGAACAAACTTTTACTGTAGCAGAAGCTTTCGAGAAACACCGCTCTCTTCGTCATTTTGTACTTATCTTATGTATTTTGTACTTCATGAATAATTTTTGTATTCTGTTCACTTTAATATTTAAACATTAACTGAGCGCAGTCAGGATACAGTTTTCCTTTCTTGGGGTCCTTTTTTGAAGAACTGTAGCCACAAGTCCATGGACCGCAAAGCTTTTCGGTGCAAAGCTGATGCGACAAGAACAGAAGGGCCAATTCACAGCTACTGACATAGATGATATTACTTCCTTCCTAGCAACGTATTCCCAATTGGACACCTTTGGTGCCTGCGGATCCCAACGTAGCATCTGCCCAACACTGTCCTGGCCATTGTTGCGCTGGGGACCTGGCCAGTGACAGATTTAATAC